TAGACAGTTCCAGCTACTACTTCACACCTAAACTACAAAGACTTGGAGGTGTCAGTTGGGGTTTTTATTGCTGTGAAGAGACACCATGACCACAGCAACTCTTATAAAGGAGAATATTTAATTAAGGTGGCAGCTTACAGTTCAGAGGGTCAGTCCATTATCTTCATGGCAGGGAGCATGGTAGGGTGCAGGCAGACATGGTGCTAGCTACATCTTGATCAGAAGGCAACAGGAAGTGGGCTTTGACACTGAAAGCAGCTTGAGCATTGGAGAACCCAAAGCCCACCCCCATGGTGACATACTTCCTCCAACAAGGCCATACCTCCTAATAGTGCCACTCCCTTTGGGGGCTATTTTCTTTCAAACCGCCACAAAAGGGGTTATTGGATTTTCTCGTTCCTTAACTCACCCCATTGTGGCTGCATTGCAAAATGCCTGTCTCTCCTTTTTCTCTCCTCTTCCCCCTACCCGGTCCTCTCTTAGTCTCTTAAAATGGCTTGTTGAAGATGAGTAACTGAGCCTGGCTTGTTAGGGCTTCCAGGGCACACACTCTGACCCTAATAACACTTATAATGATAACAAGCCTATATAGTTCTATGCTAATGACCACAATAAAAGCTGTGGGGTTGGTGTTCCTATCTTTGAACCCTTATGGGTTCCAGGTCCAGCTCTATGTATGCATTCTAAATGAATTTCCAAAGGACAGATCCACAATCAGGCTTTAATCACAGCTCTGGACAGAGGCAGAGGAATCTCTGAGTTAGAGGCCAGCCTGGTCTACAGAGCAAGTTCCATGACAGCCAGAGCTGTTATACAGAGAAATCTTGTCTCAACGCCGCCCCCCCCAGCAAAAAAACAAAACAAAACAAAAACAAAAACAAAAACCATGTGTACTTCAGAAACAAAAATTATCCCAGAAAAAAAGTCTGGGATAGGAAAAATGGTGAACTGAGAAATTGTCAGTATGATGTAAAATGACGTAGGATAACAAAGCAATGTAAGTCAAGATGTGGAAGACTAAATTTAAAGAATCCTCACATCTCTATTGGAGTTAAAGCGTAAGTTCAGGCAAATTGATGGGGTTATGACTGTTGACACACTATCTGGGTGGGGTGGTGCATCCTTTAATCCCAGCACTCAGGAGGCAGAAGCAGATGGATCTCTGAGCTCAAGGCCATCCTGGTTTGCAAACTGAGTTCCAGGACAGCCAGAGCTACACAGTGAAACTCTCTCTTGAAAAAAAAAATAAGGAAAGAAATGCTGTTGATACAAATTGCAGTTCTCATTTAAAAGGGCATAAGAAGCTGCTAAAAAGTATCATGCTGATCCTGTATCCCTGGCTTTCCAAGGATCATGCCTGAGTGGGTCAGTGGCCAAATACACAAGAAAAGATAGTAGCAGTCTCAGTGTTAGTCTTGGAACAAATGGGAAAAGGGCATATAGAAGAATCTAACAACCCATTGAATTCTCTTGTTTTTGTGATTAAGAAAAGCGAAGGAAAATGGTGTTTGCTGCAGGACTTTCTATTGTCTTAAACCCAAGTCTGAGCACTCTCTCTGGTGAATACCCCACAACATTGTCTCAAATAAATAAATAAAATTCAGTATCACTCTATTAGGCTTAAAGAAAAG